TTGAGATGTAGATGTTGGTATCCTAACTCATCTTTTTTTAGCATTTCAAATTTCTAGATATTTGAAATATTTTTGATTTTGCATCCAAACCTTGCATCCAGATACAAATCTAAAAGTCACCAAACGAACAACATCTCGATGCATGCATCAAACGAACAGGCCCACCCTCGTTACAAAGGTTCAACTGTTGAATAAAAATATTCCAACTGCCCATTGTAAATGGTCTAACAAAGTCGCATCGATAGAGCACGTGTGATGACTCTTGCTTGACTTAGAAACGCCAAAACGATGTCGTGTTCCAGACATGGCGAAGCATACTCAAAATTCCAGCGAAATTCAGAATCTTGAAGTCTAGTCTATTTAGCTAAAGTTGTGAGCTTTATCTGAAAGAAGAGAAGAGAAGGATGACCAAGTGGGCTGAATTGGTGGCAGGAGCTGGTGTGGGAGCTTTAGCCTCTGAGATCCTGAAACTTTTGATTTCAGAGGCAAGAATAGTCTTGGCGTTCAAATCTGTGTCTAAGGATCTCGCATCGGCGATGGAGGATTTGCTTCCAATACTCACAACGATCGAATCGTTGCAAAAGCGTGATGAACTAAAGACTCTGATGGATACGATCAATAGAGCTGGTGACTTGGTTGCTATATGTTCAGGCGTCAAGGGGTGGGAGTTACACAGAAAAACTTACTATACAAGAAAAGTGTGGAAAATCCAGAAGGCGATGGTCAGTTTCTGTCAGGTTCAACTACAGCTTATTCAGCTTAGGAACCAATTGCAGTCTATGGAAGAGATTTCGAAGCTCAGGATTTTGATGGAAGAGATTAATAATAATCACCAAATCCACATTAAGAAGCTCCAACTTTTGATGGTAGAGGGGAATAAGAATCACCAAATCGTCACTGAGGAAGAGTGTAAGTTCCAGATTTTGAGCCGTCCCGCGCCCGTTTATGCATGTTTGGTTCCCAAGTTTTGTAAGGCTCCTGTTGGATTTGATTCGCCACTGATGGAGCTAAAGAAGAAGCTCCTTGATGATTCTGTGGAAAGTCTTCTGGTGTCTGGTCCTCCCTGGTGCGGGAAGACCACGCTGGTTACCCTGCTTTGCCAGGATGAAGAGATCAAAGGTGCATTATGTCTTAAAGTTTTGATTTTTACACCTGAATTGTACTTGTTGTTACTCATTTAGTTTCCACTGGCAGGAAAGTTCAAGCATATCTTCTTTCATGTTGTGTCAAGTACTCCTAATTTTGGAAAACTAGTACATGATCTACTCGAGCACAACGGTGAGCAAGCACCCACTACATTTGAGAATGATTCTCAAATAAGGTTTGCCTTTGGAAAACTGTTGGATAGACTTAAAGGAAATGGTATATTGTTGGTGTTGGATGATGTGTGGTCTGGAGCGGACTCCTTGCTTGAGAATTTTTCGATTGACATACCGGATCTCAAGATCTTGGTGACTTCTCGGTTTCACTTTCCGGGTTTCGATTCCACCTATTATTTGAAACCTTTGAAAGATGAAGATGCCAAAGCCCTTGTCATGCAGTGTGATCAGGCATCTCTAGTTGAATATGAAGAACGTCTCCAAAATGTATTTGTTTTTTTAATCTCTGTTGAACCTATCCTTTGGTATCTAAGAAATCTAATACTTTGTCAATGTCAATGTTGTGGTATACAATAATTCTCTGATCCTTTTGTTTTTAATATGGTGGTGGGGATTCCACTCGATGAATTCTCAGTGGGAGAAATGGCAGCTAATAGGTCGTGGTACATTCGGAAGCGTTTACTTTGCCTCTAATAGGTAATCTAGTCTCTCATTGTATCCTCATTGTTGAGTGCCAACAGTGCTCTGTTTTTAATGCATCCTGAGTTGTTTTTCATTTGCAGCGAAACTGGAGCGTTATGTGCGATGAGGGAAATTGAGTTTTTTCCTGATGATCCGAAATCTGTAGTCTCTATAAAACATATAGAGCAGGTAAGCTTTAGGACATACAATTCTTTCAGTTAGTCTAAGAATGACCGGTCTGTGTTTGGTAGTTCGTTTGTTCTATCTCATAACCTTGGTTCTGTTTCAGGAGATCAGACTTCTCAGTAACCTTCAACATCCAAACATTGTGCAGTATTTTGGTAGTGAGATAGTGAGTATATCCTTTGTTNNCATGCNTATAATNTACNTACNCAATGCAGTGTGGCTGAGAATTCATCGAGGNATTGTCTTTTGTTTTGTATGTTCAGGTAGAAGATCGTTTCTTTATATACTTGGAATATGTTCACCCGGGTTCAATTAACAAATATATCCGCGAGCATTGTGGTACCATGACAGAATCTGTTGTTCGCAATTTTACTCGTCAGGGATATGAAAGTTGCTAATCTCCTTGTGGATGGTTCTGGGGTTGTCAAGCTTGCTGACTTTGGAATGTCTAAACACGTGAGTCCCCGGAATGTCAAATGTTTAGTCTCGCCTTCTCGTTTCAGTTTGATAATAATAAAGTTGCTATTTTTTTCTTCTTCAGCTTACCGGGCAAAGAGCTGATTTCTCGTTAAAGGGAAGCCCGTACTGGATGGCACCAGAGGTAGTCTTCTTTCTATGATCTTTGAAATTTACTCAACTCCATAAAACCTGTAATATGTATACTAATATATATTCTTTTTTTACTCACACAGCTCATGCAAGCTGTGACGCAAAAAGATAGCAACCCTGATCTTGCTTTCGCTGTTGATATATGGAGTTTAGGATGTACAATCATTGAAATGTTCACGGGGAAGCCTCCGTGGAGTGAGTTTGAAGGGGTATACACATAATGCCTCAATATTCTTTATACTAGATAGTTTTTTCCTCCTGATAACTAAAAGTGTTTGTGCAACTTTGCCTTGTCATAGGCTGCAGCTATGTTCAAGGTCATGAGAGATAGCCTGAATCAATGTCACATGAGAGTAAAGACTTTCTAAGATTATTCTTCCAGAGAAACCCAGCTGAGCGACCAACCGCATCTATGTTGCTAGAACACCAGTTTCTAAAGAACTCTCTGCAACCAACCTCACCTCGCAACAGCGATGTCTCGAATTAATCTCTCTGATTTTTTAAGTTTCAACTCGTTTTCTCTTGATAGAAGTAGCTAAGGTTAGTGATGTAATTCACTTAAGAAAAACTCCATGGAGCTTGTTGTTGTATTTGAAATTATAAATTACTTTCTAAACTGAGTCAACTGACTATTCAAATAAAGAAAAACACAGATTGATAAAATATTTTCAAGACCTTTTTTGGTAAAAATGGGAAAATACAGGGGCCTTTACCAGGCCGAGAACATTTTGTGTGATTGGTGCACTAGATTCATAAATTTGGATAAGTCTTGTAAACGTTTAAACTATAAGTTAAATTATGTAAATATCTAAAGTGTCTCTCTATAACCACTACCAATTTCAGGGATTTTAAAAAGGTAAATTACTTTTAATTCCGACAAAATTCCTCAGAGCCGTTTGCATTTTGAAATTTCGTCCTTTCTCTGAAAAGATTTCCCCATGGCGAACGACAAGGTAATCATCGATCTCTGTAGCTCG